CACACACACACACAGTTTAAACTAAACCAGTGTGTCTTACTTTCTGGGATTTAAAGACAGACAAACAAACATAAAAAGCTGTTACTGGATGAAACTGGTCGAGAGTTGCATGATGCTGCACCAAAAACCTAGTTGGAATTGCTTTGCTAGCAGATCGTTTGCTTATAAGATGCCAACTTGTCTGCAAACACCTTCCAACTGCATGTTAAGCAGTACTGAAACTGCGAAGAGTGTGACACAAACCAGAAATAGAGATTGTTACGTTTTGAAACATGTTTGTTTCACTGGTAAAAGCACAACTTTTACTTCAGCTGTAGCAACGTGCTAGCGACCAAAACAATCAATAGGAGGTATTTGGTGCAGCATCACATTTGCAACTGATTTCATCGCCAGCAACCAGTCAGACAATGTATATTTTCCCTAGCGACTGGAGGATGCTCACACCGGTCTCTAAGCTGGAGTGAGTAATGGCTTATTACACTAAGGAGAGAGAGTCATTTGACATAATGTACTAAATGTTTGCTTCTGTTGTGTACTAAAGCTATAGGAAGAAATGCAATGAACTGACTGGTGAAAAATCAAGACACACTGTATTACAAATTACTTAATAAGCAACTAAACAACTGGAGTCACTGCCAGATGCATGAAAAGACAAACTTGTGAAGATGGCATCTATATTCAGGATTTTATGAAAGCACAGAGCAAGACCAGAGTTTTCTGGTCACTGGTTGCTTTAGAGATTAACTAGGATTGAAAGGAAGGGTCTTTCTGTATGGACACAATACACAGAAACTGTTAAAAGATGCACACAAAGGCACTTTAGAAAACATTATCTCAATTGTTTTTTTGTTTTTGTTTGGTTTTTTTTTTTTGTTTGTTTTTTGGGGGGGGGGATGCTTGAACTCATTAGAACAACGAAATTCACATGTAAAGTGTATAATATGTCATTTCTCTTCTCTTGTCTGGTGCACCACAGTTCATGTACACCCTGGCAGCGTGTCTGCTCCTGGAGCTGGTCGGAGCAATCTTGGGGCTGGTGTTTCGCAACCAGGTGAGTTGCCTAAAGTGTTAATCAGTTCCCTACCATTTTGAAACGCTCTGACTTCAGCAGGTGGGCAGTGAAGGCATGTGTTTTATTTCACGTAGCAGGGAGCAAGATAACAACCAAAGCAGTCTGACACTGACAGTCGGCTTACCACAAGGAAGAGATTCACTCTAGCCAAGAAAAGTAAAGCCACATTATGTAGTTTAATTTGATTTCTGAAGTCTTATTCTCTTTAACATGAGATAAAGCTGTTAAAAGCTGTTTTCCTGTGACCAACAGTTAAACAATACAATAGATTAAACTTGCATAGATCAGAATTTATATGTTTAAAAGACTATGTAGAATTATCAGTTGTCTATGTGATATTTATGTCATCCTTCACAATGTCTCTGTATTTTGCACTTTTAATATTTCCCTCTTAAGTTCTCCTGTTGGTCCTG